GGGAAGCCAAAATATATTATCATCAGATAGAGTATGAGATGCATTAGAGTCAGAGTGCTCTAAGGCACCCAAAATTGCTGAATAGTCCAGCCTTGATCATACATGGAAAGGAGAAATGGACCATACCCTCTTAAGAAGGTTATTGTCCTCAGGACTTAGAGGCCTCTGTGTTAATCGGGATATTTGGCCACTTACTTTAGGCTTAGGAAAATTTTGGTAAAGAGACAAATAATTCTGTCTTTAATACTTGTTGCTTCAGTCAAGCTATGTAGCTTTACTGAACCTCTATTTGTAAAAATCTCAACTACTTCCTGTGGTCAAGCCTGAGAGCTTGGCTTCTCAGTACTCGAAGGGATGGCTCTCCCTGTTATGACAGGAGAATGAATCGGGTTTTTACTTGGGTTGTAGGACCCCTGAGCATCAGCTGGTTCTGACCTTGTAGGGAATCATCACTACTGCTGATTTCAGAGTTTATGGATGGACCTCTATGACATGACCTCATCCGGGGACAAAATGTTCCAGTATATGGGCCTACAGGAAATAGTTAAACAGAAAATATTAAATTTTAACACGAAAAATGAAAGGAGAAGATATAATTACCAAAACTTTGTAATACCCTAGATTTTTCATTCAGTAGTCAGTAAGGCGCTGGGGCAGTCCACAGCTTGCTTTCATGGAGAATCTGGCGCCCAGAGTACTATCCTTAGGTGAAATTCCATTACTGAGAAGTAGATGACAATAAAAGGGATAATTGGGCCGGTATACAGTTCTGCTGGAACAGGCAACAACAAAGAATGTGACTAGTCACAACCCCAGGGGTTTTATTTCTCTGGTGATAATTATGAAGATTTTTTTTCCCCCTAGCTTTGACTTAAGGAAAAGCAGCTTTTGATCCAATTCTACATATTATTTGGACTTTGAGAAAGTAGTAACAGCAAGGAGTGCCAAAATAAAATCTAAAGATTTACAAAGCAATGGCACAACTACCCAATCTGCTATTTCAAAGTGACCGGAAGACCAAAAAGATGCCATCTGTAGAATTTTATGGCTGCAGAACTATGAGTCACTCCAAGTGAATGTCTCCAACAAGGCACTCTTGCAATTAGATTTGGACCTCCGTTCTTCCTCAGTTGGAAGAGGAAGGAGAGAGAGGGAGCCTCAAGGTAGTGAGCTGAGTCATTTTACTGTCAGTGTAGGGCACAGGATTTCAAATGATATATAGCAGAACCCTACATTGTGCCTTAAGGATTATGGGGAGTGTGGGGAAGGCAAAAGGAAGAGTGAAAGGGCTACAGGTCTTACTTCTCTGTTTCAACAAAAGTAATTCTCCTTTTATCTGTTTTATTTATATGCGAAAGAACTTTTCACATCTTTAAAAAAAGAGTGACAAAACAACTGCTGTAGAAGAACAGTGCTGCCTAGCCCTAGAGAGAGCTTAGGACAGACTCTTTGGCACAATTGCTGGATAGGCAGTTGACATTCCACAGCTTGGGCCCTATATCAGGCAGACTGGTTCTGTATGGAATTAACTAAACTCTGCTATACCAGTGTCTCTCCAGTGGTCTCAACTTCTCTGTGCCAGAAAATGCATACACGGGAAGGCAGAGCATATCATTCCCAAGGGTTACAGCAGCAACTGGGAAGAGAACAGGAACAGAAACAAACAGAACAGTTACAGCTGCAACTAGGAAGAGAACAGGAACAGAGACAAACAGAACAGTTACAGCTGCAACTAGGAGCAGAAAGTAGATGGAGTAGGTTTGCCAAGTAGATCCATGGGCAGCTCTAGAGTGAATGCCTGCTGGACTTCTCCAGCACACTGGGCATGATCTCTACACTGGGCATCTGGCCAGGGGGCTGCAGAGTGGATAACAGTGGACAGAAGGTCATTGGGAAGGGAAAAGATATGCAAGCGTGGGGCAGTGCAGTACAAGGTTAAGTTGCTATAACCTGGTCTAAAGTAAAGTGAGGCTGTCCACCCATCCATCTCTACACTAGATCAATTCAGAGTGCTGCAAATAACTTGAGAAGGAAGAATCCAAGAAAGTCTGATCACAATGTTGAATGTTGAGCTGCTCATCAGAGAGATAACCACAGGACACCTTAAGTTCATAGGGTTTGTATTCCCCAAACCTGGAATTGCTAACTTCTGCCAATACTAATGGAGAAATGTGAGAAGGAAGGGGCAGGTTGCAAACTCTGAACATCTAAACTGTTCCTGAGCTTCTAGCCACAGCACTAATGGCCGGGTTCAGATATCATTGCTTGCCCTTCTCCAGGCTTTCAATCCCTTTTCAGCCTTAGGAAGCCTAAAAAATGTATGCTGTACTCCAGGGAGTTATATGCCTCAGCAGCACATGAAATCTGCTTTTCTTATTCTAAATACCACACACCCCCGACCACTCAAACAGTTAGTGTACTAGGGTACCTTGTCCTTAAACTTTCACACCACATGTCTCCCTGTTTTGGTCCAACATTACCAGGTAAGCGCTGAGCTTCCTAGCTCCTGACCAGAGGCACCAGACCAACTCAGGGGTAGACATCCCTTCTGCAGGATCCTAGTCAGAATGACTTCATCAATGAGCATTATATCTACGGACCTACCTCCCATATCAGAGCTGGCCTTCTTAGATCCAGAAACTAGGATATAGAATTAATTTAGAGAGATCATATGTGAGTGTGTCTCTCATACCTTAGTGCACCCTGAGACATTGCACACCAGATGTAGGCCCACCATCTGGACAGATAATGCTCTACAAAGAAAACGATGCTTGATTTGACTCTTCCTCGTTAACAGACCTTTCTCCCCACCCCCGACTTCCCACCCTCTCCTCTAGAAATTCTCCATTCAAAACTTTGTGCCTTCTCTTCTTCCTCTCAAGCAGCTGCTCTAAGACATATTTATAAATATGAGGATAGAGTATTTCTCTTCCTTTCTCTGAGTGGGGGCTGGGCCCCCAAGTTGAGGGCCAAGAAAAAAAAATACTACAGTTGGTGAAGACCTAGCTAGCATATAGATTTACTCGGTTCTCCAGTGTTTACATTCTAGAGTCAAGGAGCTCACAGCTTTCTGGGATGACTTCTTTCTGTCTGGGTACCAGCCTGGCACCATCAGTTCCCATTGCCCAACAGGTGCAGTTTGGGTCACACTTGTCTGTCTTGCATGCAGCTAGCAGAATGGAAAGGCCAGGGGCTGCGGTTGAAAGTCAAGGCCTAGGAGAGGATAATTATCGAGATACAAACACCCAGTGCCTCTCCTTGCCTCCTACTTAGCCTGTCCTCCCTCCGGACTCTTGGCACCCCCTCAGTGAGTTGGGTCATCAGCACAGGCCTCTGAGGAAGGGTGATCTACATAGGCGAGAGGAGGGGCGGCTGTCTCTGTGGTGACTCAGACAGGAGCTCCCTTTGGGGAGGGCTGATGGGTACAGGGTGGAAGGAGTCAGCCAGCCAGCTGCAGGGAGGGGATCCCCAGTGTCCCCATACCAGCAGAAGCGCCTTAATCATGACGGAGACGGGGCTGGGGGAGGAGGTCAGGTGAAACGGAGCAATTATTCCTTCAGCACCCTAGCTCTTTGACGGTTTTCTTCATATGAAATTCTCTACATCATCCTCTCCAGTTTCCACCCCTCCCCTTCC